AATGAAGACTTAGTCCAGCACTTCTGAAAGGTTGCTGACCCCTGCACTAGACTATACTATTTCCTCTCCAAATAGGCAATAGAACCCAGAAATCCCAACTCTCAGTCCCTCCCATTTCCACTGCTAGATCATAAACCCCTTGTAGAGATGGGAACAGAACCCAAGAGACTTGACGCCAAGTCCCCGCTATGCGTCGCTAACCCACCAGACCCCATTTCACTCTATTCCCAGAGCTGGCAATAGAACCCAAGAGTCCTGACTCCCAGTCCCCCCCGCTCTACCCATTAGACCCTTCTCCCCAGCCACATCTGGGAATAAAACCCAGTAGCCCTGACTCCCAGGCTCTATGCTTTAGTCACTAGACCCCTACTCACCTCCTAGAGCCAGGAATAGAACACAGGAGTCCAGACTCCCAGCCCTATCTGCTCTCACCCACTAGACCCCACTCCCCTCCCAGAGCCAGGAATGGAAGCCAGGAATCCCAATTTGCTATCCCCCTTGCCCCACACAGCTCAGTGGAGCACAGAAAATAACCCCATGTCATTCCACATGAATGGATGACTGCTCTCCCAGAAATGCCCTCTGGGCCCAACAGGGAGTTGAGGGGGGTGTGACTGCTAGTATGAGCTCTTGAGTTAACAACGCCTTGTGACTAAGGCTATGAAAGGCCTACAGATCCAGTCATCAGCATCTGACCTTTGTCCAACACAACAAGCAAATGATCAACCACTGCAGCCTCTGGACCATATCTTGCCTTTGAAAACCACTCAAAATTGGCTCTACATAGCACCCAAGCTGCTTCCATGCCCTCTTGCTGAAAAAAATTAGTGACAAGCAGCAAGACTGGGAGACTCAAGTAATGCCTCTCAGACAACAACTCATTTTCATAGTTTCATACCTTTTAAGGCCAAAAGGGACCATAGATCTTCTTGTATCACCTCCTGTAAATCACAGGTCAGAGAGTGTCACCCAGATACCTCTGCACTGAGCCCAATGACTTGGGTTTGGCTAAAGTTCTTACAGGAAGGCATCCAGCCTGGGTTTGAAGATGTCAGGAGATGGAAAAATAGTGAATCACTCTCACTGTGAAATAAAGGTGTCTTATTTCTAACTGGAGTTGGTCTGGCTTCAGCTTCCAGCCTTTGGTTCTTGTTCTGCCTTTCTCTGCTAGGTTTAAACTCCACCTGGAACTGGGCTGAAACCATCCTCAGCATCCCTTTAGTACCTGGTATTTTCCTCCTATGAAGGTGCTTTACACTGTCATAGACTCACCTCTTGATCTAAACAGCCTGAGCTTTCAAGTCTCTCACTGTCAGGCATTTTCTTGAGCCCTTGAATAATTTCTCTGGCTCTTTTCTGCACCCTCTCCAATTTTTCAGTATCCTTTTTACAAAGCACTCCCCAGAACTGGACGCAGCATTCCAGTATTGGTCTCACCAATGCTATACACAGAGGTAAAATCATCCCCTTGCTCTTCCTCACTACTCCCCTGTTTATACAGCCAAGGAACACAAGAGCCATTTTTGTACCCGCATTGAACTGCGAGCTCATGATGAGTTGTTTATCCACCCCTAGCTCCTTTTCAAGGTCGCCACTGCTTTCCCGGACAAGCCCCCCTTCTGTAGGGGTGGTCTTCCTTCCTTGCTGCTAGATGTGTCACCTTGCATTCAGCTGCAGTAAAGTGCAGTTTGTTTGAATGATTACAGGAGCCAGGAGTCCTGCTCTTCCCTTCTCTATTGTTGCTCTTTTGGCCCAAGCATTAGTCCAATATTCAGGGCCTTGCAGGGTTGTTTCCGTTAGCATGAGGAATGGATGATACAAGTCAGGTCACTTATTTAGTGAAACCTTGTTCATTTACAGGGTACCATTTCCCTGAACACTAACAGCAGCAGGCAGTTTCCTTGCTCCTGAATCCCCACATCTGCCCCTGCTCCCCACCCGCCCAGCAAGCTCTGTGTCCAAAAAGCCTTCCCCTGTCTCTCTGCTTCCTCCCCTGGGAGACACTCAGAACTGCTTCTCCTGGCTTCCTGCCTCCAACATACACAGCCTAGCCCCCTCCTTTGCAACCAGGGAGAGCCCTATTCATCTGCCGGGGTTAACACTGGCCTAGCCATACGGCTTAGTGTCTTGGGTGGAAGTCCCATTGCCTGCAGCTCTTTTTACCATATAAAGGGGCTTGATTGTGCCTGAAAGACTGTTTAAATTATCCTGCACTGAGCATCTGAGATAACCCATTGCTAAGATGAATGGGGGCTTGTAGCGGGGGCAATGACTGTTAAAGGCCGAGAAGGCACAGGGGTTGCAGAGAGGACAGCCCAAGGGTATGCAGAGGCAGCAAGTCCAAGCCCTCCTTGCCGATGTTGAGTAGCAATTATACTGCAGTCTGCCCCAGTGAGCGGGGGCTAGATGGTGACTGGCAGTAGCCCAAGACTGAGGCGAGGTGGGGTTGGGGTTTGGGGATTCCCTGGGGCGGAGAGACCCAGCAAGAGTGTGGGATACTGCAGGGGGCAGAACCCCAAGAGAAGGGGCTCTGGGGTCCAGGAGGGACACGGGGGGACAGCGGCAAGCGAGACTCCGGCCTGCAGAGTGTGCTCCGGAGGCTGATGAGCTAATTCCCTGGATGACCAGCAGGAGGAGCTGCTGAAATACCTGGGCCTGGACTCAGTGACCCAGGCGATCCCTTCCAGTCCTATATCCAACATTTCTATTGAAACTAAACATTCTGATGGTTCCAAACTGAAATGTTTCTGAATTGTTATTCTGCAGGAAATTTCAACGTTTGGGCTTTTTGTTCCGATGTCAGTATTTTTCACAGAATGAAAACTCTGGTTCCTGACCAGCACTGCTGGAAATTTACTAATTTTTAAAATCCAAGCTTAGGTTCTAGAGAACATGATAGTACCTCCAGAGACATGTCAGGAGAGGGATGGGTGTGTACTATCTGTTTCCAAGCCCTGGCATAATTAGAGTGTAGAACTCACTGGCACAGAAGGTCATTAAGGCCAAGGATTTAGCAACATGCAAAGAAGTACTGGACATTTATATGGATATTAAGAGTATCTCAAGTTGCCAAAATTAATGCTAAGGGAAAGGATATTAAACCTCCTGTTTCAACTATTTAAACCTCTACCTTTAACTATTCAAAATCAGGATGAGATTTTGATGGGGCCAGAAGATTATCCCACATCTGACTACTCTGGCATTCTCACACCTTCCTCTGAAACATTTGGTGCTGGCCACTGTCCCCAGGATTAAAGTAACCCCAGGTCTGATCCAGCCTGGCAATTCCTGTGTTCTCATTATGACAGTTCATTTAGGGAGCCATTTGTCCTGTCTTCTGAGAGAAAGGCACAGCCTATTGTCAATGAATTATGGACCCCAACACACA